CAGTCTAGGGTTAGTCAAATAGTGAACTTGTGCACTATACCCAAGGGTGTTTCCCTTCAGGTTATTTGAAAGTCAGAGGCTCTACTGTGCTTTAAGGAATTTCTTAGGCTTTAAAGAAAGGAGTCTATTCTCTGAGAGCTAAAGAGCTCAGGGGATTAACTGCAGGTTTGCTGCTAGCTAAATCCTTGAGAGTGTGTGTGGTGCTTGGTGGGTTGGTGGTGTCTTTCTCTGCTCTCAGAAAACCTCTCTTATTTATACCTTTCAGCCTGTTGTTCCTTAGCCAATAGCAAAACTGGCTCTTCTATTCTACTGTAATTACTAAGCTACTTCTACTTTTATCAATAAGCATTTATCTGTATTAGTCAGCTTTTTGTCTGTTTTACTAATGTATTGGTAAGCTATTACTAATGTTTATTAGAGTATTACTATATTTTGGTAATTTATAGCTGTTGAGCATAGACCTTTACTAAGCATAGTTTTTAGATTACTAAGAAGCTGAGTCATATTATTAGTCATTGATTCACTTTTAGTAAGATTGAGTGTTTATGCTTACTTTGCAGCTCTGAGTTAGCAGTCTCTTTTTTTTATTTGAATACCTAGCTTATTTCTTTAGTTTTCCTATACTTATAGTTATGGCGCATGACAGCGTCTTCTGGTCATCTGAGAGCGAGAGGTAGAGCTCACCAGCAGCTCTGAGTGCTTTATCGTCCCACTTCTCAAATGCCTGATGCTTCATCTTGGTTGGAGCCTGAGAAACAACTGAAACAGGGCGCAGCTTGTTGCCTGGCACAAGGTGCAACCATTCCTTCATCATGAGGACTGCAAAGATATTGCCATGCCATTGGAGATAGTTTTCAGTGTGGAGCTTGTCAAAGTGAGGAGTAGAAACAACTTCCGAGACCATGGAGCACAACAAAAGAGCAAGGGAGCGAGTGGGCAATTGTTTTGAATGTGTGTTTCAGCTTGGTGTTTTAGAGAGATGGGCTGAGATGAGTGGCCCAGGTGAAGTCAATGAAGGAGAAAGCAAATGGCAAGCAAACAAGATGAGTGATAGCTCAATAGAGAGCTAGGAGCGAGGAGAATCAAATGATATACAACTGAAGGAGGAGGAACAATGTTTAAAGGTGGATGGAAGCAAAATAGTCATGGATGTAGATGAAATGGTGCAGTTTAGAGCGCGGGGCTCATAATCTATTTGACCTGGGAGGTAAACTCAACTAGAGGAGTGCTGAAGACCACAACTGGAGGTTGTGAATGAGCAACTGAAGTCTATTAAGGTGAAGATACAACTACTGACCTGGAGGTTGTGGATGAGCAATTGAAGAAAGCCCAAACACAAGCCTCCACAGACATAAAGACACATCACAAAGCGCATATCTACTTATATAATCACATCCAAGTCTGACACTGGAGCAGATGAAGTAGTGGTCTACTGTGGATAGAAAGCGAAGGAAAATAGCAAAAAGGATGAGGATATTCCAGGATATAGAGATATGGGAGAGAAGAATGATAATAGGATAGAGAAGCTGTAGCATCACATACAATACAGAAAATAACATTTGCATGTTCGGTGGAGTCCACCTCCATTGCATTAGAATCCAAGGTTTTCTTGCCTCCAAACACTGACTCTTTGACCTTGTCTGGGTGTAAAGCATGCCAGATGTCAGCCATGTATTGGATATATTCATTCTAAGTTGTCGGCAAGTTGTTATTGAGACATCTTTCGATAGTAGCTTGCACTAATTCTTTAGAAAGAATTACTTTGACCTTTTCAATGTGCAGACTATCTTGATAATATACTAGTCTAGCTAGTGTCTTCTATTGTTCCGCATATTTCAGAAAGTCATTCTTAATAAGTGTAGAATTCTTCCACATTGCGTCCATTTCATTTTTAGCCCCAGTTCTACAGTTTTTCTGCTTGTAAATATTTGAAATATTTTTGAAAAAGTTGGCCCATAAGTCTAATGGTTTGTCATCATGCATAATTTGAAAGTAATCAGCCAAGTAATCTAATGCTGGAGTTTGAATTCTTGCTAAGGCTGTTAAAATCCTTTGATGATCTACAACAATGCTATTGGCTGCTGTGTACAGTGCAATTTGATCCAACCACTGATTCAATGTGATTTTACTCTCTGTTCCTTAGAATAGTGGTGGTCCTGGCATTTTAATACTTTTCAATTTGTTTCTGGTTGTTTGCAGCAGATCTCTTAGCTGTCTTTCCAACATCTGAATGCATGTAAGAAAGTCTATATTCTGTCATGTAATCACATAACTGTGTTCATGTTGCTGAGAATTTTTGTGGCCATATCATTCTCATTTTGCAGATCAGAAAAGTTTCTATGCATATTTGATAAGTTGTTGTCTATATATCTTCCTTTGAAGTTTATATATTGGACTACCAAGTTTAAGATTGAGCGCATAGTGTTTTGAACTTGTGTGAACATATAATCAGCTAGATTTTGAAGATCTCTATAGCTGCCACCTGTGCCTAACAATGTGTTGGCCAAGTTGACGTCATTTTGAACTAATGCTCTTTGGAATTTAGCATTAGTTCTTGGTACCATTGCTGCTGGTAAGAACGGAATCCAGTAAGCTCTCTGAGGTACATCCATTTTGGATACTTGAGCAGCTCTGGACAGTGTGAGAGAAGGTGCGCAAGAGGCAACTGAAGTTAAAGTGTTGTGGAGAGACATTTTTCTGGTTGATTTTTTTAATTAGATACCAGATTGTCAAAGTCTCGGAAGAAATCTCTTGATATTGTTTTTGTATGCACAAAGAACATTTGTTGTATAATTTTAAACAAAAGAAAACTATTTATACACCACTATATCAGACGAACTCATTTGCTTTTTTACTGTACACTTTAAACCTCACTGATATGGTGTAGTTTCTGTTCAACAGTGCTTTACAAATGTTATAAAAGTCTGTATCTTCTGTGGATACCTTTTTCAACTGCCTGCAAAGTTGGCTAATCTGCTTCCACTCACGAGTGCCCCATTTGATGATGTTGAGCTCTTTATCTTTGACAACCTCCTTGATGTAGCTTAGCTCATCTAAGAGCTTCAGTAAATCATGCACTTGCTTAATAGCAAGTGACCCTTTTCCTGCCTTAGCCAGTTTCTTGGCATCAATCAGATAATTGTGCATGGCAAAGAACTACTTGTTGACGGCAATGAGAGAGGGGAGAAGTTTCTCACAATGGTGAGGGATCCCCTTCTTCATGAACTTGAGCTTTTTAAGGCTCACTAAAGTCTCTTTGATTTCTTTTTGGCCCATAAGAGAGAATTATCTCCCTCAAATGCAAAGAGGTCTGGACATGAGCGTACAAGGTCATTATAAGCTCAACACATACCAATTTTCTTGGCTTCCATGCATCATTATTTGAGTAGATTGTCAGCAGCTTGCTGACATCATTGGGCTTCTTTCTTTGCCTCGTCAAGTAACTCGAGGCAACGTTTGAGTGCGAGCGGCTTGTGGACAATGGGCTTGTTAGTGTAAAGTTGATATCTTTTTGCAGGTTTTCCGATGTTTTTGAATTTATATTTGTTTTCAGGTAAAAGTTGAATATGTTCCAAAAGAGGAACACCTGAGAACTCATTCTTTGTGACGATGAAGTTCTTGCTGGTGTACTTAGGCATTCTAATAGAAGAAATCCAAGTTAGTCAAAATCAATGCCTTGGCAGCCCTCTGCTTATTCTCTTTAGAAACAGCATTAGAACTCACCTCTTCTTTGCGTTTAGCAAAAACTTTGGTGTGACTTCAGTGGTGATAACTCCTAACAGGTAACTGTTTGGATTCTATATAATCTGAGGGTTTCTCCAGAAAGATGCCATAAGTATCATACCAGAACTGCGTATTAGATGACAACATCCTTTGAGAGGTGAGAGGATTAGCACTTCTTCCAAAGTAAGTGCTAAGTAAGTAATAAAAGGAGGACATGAGTCCAAACTCTTTGTATCGATATTAGAGTAGTTTTTCTCACTACCACTGGTGTAGCCATAGGTATGCAGTATGGATTTTCTTTACAGTTCCACCTGTAGAGCAAAGGGGAAAACCTTCCTTTAGAAGGTCCTTTGGTCCAAACATGATAAGTGTCCACGTGACTTTCTCTGTCCACATGTCCAAAAACAAGTACTAGGTAAACAACATTCATTTGGAGGTGTTAAGCCCGCGTCTTCAGTCATGTGTTTCTATACGTAAAGTGCTTCAACACTGCTGCTTACGTCTACAGCCCAACAAAGTCCTTTCTATATGCCAGCTGTTAGCACCTCAGAGTACATGGCACTCTGAGCGGGTTGAGATTATGATTCCCATCTATAATGATAGTAACATAAAGGATCTGGTGCAGAGTACCCTCCGTCCATCTATTCATATCTGGACAGACTTCTACACAGCTGGTCATCTATGGACGGATATTCTGGCCTGTCTGTACAAAGAAAAAAAACATAAAGCATTACTTTACGACCAAATAGAAAGACTCAACAAACCATCACAACTGCTATACTCACCTTACTGAAAGATTTTGAAGGGTAGAAGTGAAGAGTAGAGGTTAGAATAGAGCAAGTTGCAAATGCAAAGAATCAACGAAGTTGTTGAGTTTGAGGTCTTTAAGCCTCAAACAACACTCCTTATATACAAGTAATCTAAGATCCTGACACTACATAGGATCTATGATATCTTATATTACTAAGTGCCCATGTGACTACTTGTGACTCATTACTAATACACTACCATTATGTTTAGTAATACAAGAGATAATGATCATTGGAATATTTCCATTAGACTTAGCTTTCTTCCAGATGACATCATCTATGATGTCATAACATGTGACTGGTCTAGAACAAGTTCTGAACTTGTAGTTATCTTATCTACTGATCCCATCATATCTATGTGATGATCTGGGCCTCATAATATGCATGTGACCATATAAGTCACGTGATTGTATTTAGTGCTATAATGAGTGCTAAGAATATAATAGACGCTTGTATAGGGCAAATTTATGACAGAAGTCACATGTGACACAGGAGAAGGGACGATCTCAATGTTGCACTCTAATAGATTGTAGCGGTAGCTTAGTCGGATGTATGTTGACCTTCATTTGTTAGCATGTCACACATTTTTGTACTAAAGACGAGACAAAAGATCATAAACCTGGCTAGAAGAAATTGCATGCTACTAACTCAGCTGTTTTAAAGTGTCCTGGATGTTCTGTGACTGGAAAATCATAGTATGTTTTGACAATGTGTCTTCGTAGTATGAGGTCACTTAGTACATAGCACTTATGTCTGAAGTACATAAGACTATCAGTTATTTGCCATTCATTTCTGATTATTTGTGCCCAATAGATGCTTTGACCATAGTAGCATAGGTATTTGTTTTCATATAGCATACCATATGAGCTTTGAGTGATTCCTTGAAAGTTGGTTCTAGCATTGTGTTATTTTGCGCTGCAAAAAGATCTGCAGCAATATGCAGAGACTGAATGGTTGTTGTTGCAAATACTTGATCAGGTAGAAATATTAAGTCTACGTTGTCATTTGCTGTATGCATGGGCATATTTCTGGTGAGTGCATCAGATGCACAAGTTGGCTTCTGGAACAATAGTGCAGCTTGTAGTTGAACTGGAATACAAAGAGGTGCCATTGCACTTGTCACTAGAGTTATGTGGGCCATAGCATATATGCTTGGCAGGTACAATTTCTTCATTTCTTTTATGCTGTAACATAAATAATAATAACTCAGATATTATAATAGCTTACCATTTATATGAAACTTGAAGCTATATACAGTATCACGAGTCTACTAGTTTCTAAACTGTCCACTTAGTCAAACAGTGCAAGGCTTATTGGGTTTATACCTGGTGCCTGCAATCAAGCCAGAATTTAGAGAGATGGCCTCTGAAGT